GGAAGGAGGCGAGAAGGGACGGGAGGGGTTAGATGGGAAGAAGAAAGGAAAGAGAAGGTGGGAGAGGAATCAGGAAAGAACAAAAGTGAGAAAGAAGTGGGAAGGGGTGATATCGAGTTTCTGGCTCCGGCTGTACGCTCTTGCTGGTGAAAGCGATCGGAGGGGCATCGCTGAGAAGTAATGGAAGACTCGCTGGCAGGCACGGGGCGGTTACCTAAATAATGGGGGGACGAGGCTTTCTCGGCCGAGCTTTACAGTCCCAGCGCCTCTGGAATTGGCTAGAACTCAGTGGGTTGGTACCCCGAGTCTGGGCTTCCTCTTGCCTGCCCATCCCCATTCCCCTAAAATCACTGCCCCATTATTAGAGGTGGAGCGGCCCTTGTGGTTGGGACTTGGACTCAGATTACCCGGACAGGCGTCTGGGGAGGGAGAGATAGGCGCTTCTCGCGGTCCTGGAAGATGTTTTTTCCTTTTCACTAGATTGGTTATTCGGGAAATACTACATCTCAAATCCTTCCTTTACGTATTTTAAGTCGCCTTTAAAACAAAGTAAAGTACAAGTGAATGAAATATCCAGCTTTTTCGAAACTAGAATTTTAGTACCTTGACCACGCCCGACATTTTTGGCGGTTACTGTCTCAATCTAAGCCAAATTGTTAATGGTCCCTTTAGAATTGTGCTTCTTGACGTGATGCCTTAAAAATTTTATCATCCTTTTCAGACTTTTCTAAAGCTTTCTTCTGCCTAAGAGCTGTCTTAATATCTGCTCCACTTTTACTCTAGACTTTCTTTTTTTAACATCCTGGGTCAGCTTTTGCTTAGCATTAACAAAAATTTTTTTAAGTGAAATACCTAAGAAAGAGGATCTGCCATTTGGGATTTGCATTTGAATATATTCTCATGCACTGCTTGTGGGAGTGTACATTGGTTCAATCTTTGCAAAGCAATTTGTCAGTGTAGATCAAGAGCCTTAAAAAGTGTTCATACCCTTTGACTCAGGATTATTCCGCATCTGGGAATCTAGCTCCCAGAAACAGCCTAAAATGCAAAGATTTGGGTCCCCGTATTTATTTGATAATCAGACAAAAATAATAGTTAAACAAACCCTGAACTTTGGTGAAAGCACAAAAGTGTCTTCCAAAGAAGAAAAGTCTGTTGTATGAGGCTTAAACTGAAGAACTGTTAACATTGTCCTCAGCGTTCAAAAATAGTTTACTATGACTGATGTTCTTAAGGGTTTGGGGAGGTTCCTCTGAGATAGAAGCTGTGTCAAAAGCTTTCTCTCAGATCATTCTCAGCTAATATTCATGTTGGTAGACAGACATCACTTCTTACTTCCTCAAAGGAGAGAAGCCTTGTGCTGAATATTGTTAGAGAGATTGCTTTGTCCTGAATTTTGCTCTAGAACTAGTACAAACCAAGACTTCTACAATGTCTATTAAACAGATGGTAGGCACCCAAATGATGAGGGCTTTCTGCTGAGCAGTGAGAAGTTGGCACTAGGAAGAGAGAGCTGTCTCCTGGAGAGAGTCTCAGTGAATGTTCTCCCTGCCTTCATCTCAGAGCAGAGATACATGTTCCTGCCAGGAGAGTCTTGTAGCAGTAAGGCCCCAGCTCTACTGTTAATTTCGTAGTTGGAATGTGGCCTCCATCTTGTACTAGCTACACAACCTAAAATTGCTGTAGAGCTCAGTTTCATTAGCTATTAAAGTAGGCCAATAATAATGTTCTAAGTTTTGTGAGAACTCTTTATTTGTGTGATTCAATATTTTAAAAAATATTTTCACTGCCCATCAGTTTTAAGATATTTTAATCACTCCATGAAGAAGCCTTGTTCCTGTCAGCAGTCACTCCCCATTTTCTTCCAACCCATCTCAGTTCTTGATAAACTAAAACTACTATCAGTATAGATTTGTCTTTTGTAGACATTTCATAAATATGGAATCATTTAATAGGCAGTCTTTTGTGACTAGCTTCTTTAACATTATAGCATATTTGGGCCGCGGATTTAGCTCAGTGGTGCCACTAGTATAGATTTGTCTTTTGTAGACATTTCATAAATATGGAATCATTTAATAGGCAGTCTTTTGTGACTAGCTTCTTTAACATTATAGCATATTTGGGCCGCGGATTTAGCTCAGTGGTGCCACCACCTGCCTCGCATGTGCAAGGACCTGAGTTCGATCTCTGGTACAAAAAAAAAAAAAAAAAAATTATAGCATATTTTCCAAGTTTATTCATGTTGTAACATGCAATAGTACTTCATTCCTTTTTATGACTGGATAATATTCCACTGCATTGCTATACTACATTTGTCCTTTGATCAGACATGAACATTTGGGTTCTTTCCACTTTTTGGCCACTATGAATAAAGTTGCTATGAATATTCATGTGCAGCTTTTTGTGTGGACACATGTTTTTAGTTGTCTTGGGTATATCCCAAAGAGTGGAATTGCTTTGCCTGTGGCAACACTATGTTTAAAAAAAGTTTTTTTTTGGTACCAGGGATCGAACAGGGGTCCTTTGCTTGCAAGGCAGGCAGCAGAACCACTGAGCTAAATCCCTGACTCATGCTATGTTTAAATTTCTAAGAAATTTACAAAATGTCTTCTGAAGTTGCTACCTTATTTTATATTCCCACCAGGTTCTAATTTCTCTGCATCTTTCCTAACACCTAACACTTATCCATTGTTTATGATAGATATCTTAGTGGGTACAGAGTGTAGGTATCTCATTGTAGTTTCAACTTATATGCCCTTAATGGCTAATAATGCTGGACACTTTTCCAGATCCTTATAAGCCATTTGATATCTATTTTTTTGGAAAATGTCTATTCAGTTACTAATTTATTAATTGAATTATGTATCTTTTTATATTGTGTTCTAAGGATTGATGTATTCCACATACAAATCCCTTAGCAGATAATTTCTAAATATTTTTGCCCATTGTAGGTTGTCTTTAACTCTTTTTTTTTGGTGCCCGGAGCAAACTCAGGACCTCATGCTTACCAGGCAGGCACTGCGACACTGAGCTACATACCTGGTCCTTTAACTTCTTGATAATACCATTTGAAGCACAAAAGTTTTTAATTTTTAACAACATTCATTTTACCTAAGTTTTCTTTGGCTACCTGAACTTTGGAACTCATATTTTAAAACATTGTCTAATCCAAGGTCATGGCAATTTACACCTATGTTTTCCTCTCAGTGTTACAGTTTTAGCTTTTACATTTAGATTTTTCAGTTGTTAAAATATAGATAATATTTTTTGTTGTTGTTGTTGTACCAGGGATCAAATTGGGGACTTTGTGCTTGCATGGCAGGTATGGTGCCACTGAGCTAAATGCCTGGCCCACACAAGATATTTTATATGACTTGATTTTTATATATGACACAGAGTCCAACTTCATTCTTTCACAAATGAATTTCCAGTGTCCAGCATTGCTTATTGAAGACTTTTTTCCCTGTTGAATCATCTTGGCACCTTTGCTGAAAATCAGTTGACCATTCTGCATTCTCCTCAAAAGTGAAAGTGCGTGTGTGTGTGTGTGTGTGTGTGTGTGTGTGTGTGTGTTTTACTGGGGTCTGAACCTAGGACTCGCCCAGTGAGCTACATCTCCAGATACTTTTTTTTTTTGGTAGCTGGAATCAAATTCATAACCTTGTGCTTGCTAGGCAAGCACTGTGCCACTGAGTTAAATCCCAGGCCCCAACTTTTTATTTTAAGGCAGGGTATTGTTAAGTTGCTAAATTGCCCCGGCTGGCCTCTAATAAACTTGTGATCCTTCTGCTTCAGCTTCATAGAATGCTGGGACTGCAGGCATGTGCCACTACCCCCAACTATTGTCCCTTTTTCTTTAATTTTTTTAAACTTTTTTTTGTACTGGGGATTGAACTTGGGACCTTGCACTTTCAAGGCAAGTGGTGGAACCACTGAGCTAACTCCCTAGCTTCCTTCATTTTTTTAGATAGGGTCTCTAGGTCTCTATGTAGCCCTGGCTGACCTCGAACTCTTGGGCTCAAATGATTTTCCTGCCCCAGTCTATTCCTTTTCAAAATTGTTTTGACTATTCTGGGTTCCTTATACTTTGTGTAAAGTTTAGACTCAACCTGTTCATTTTTGGAAAAAAAAAAAGATTTTGATAGGAAATGTATTGAATCCATAGATCACTTTGATTGATATTGCCATCTTAAATTAAGCCTTCCAATTCAGGAATCTGGAATTTTTCCTACTTACTTATGTCTTAAATCCCTTTTAGTATTTTGTAGTTTTCAGTTTCTTTTCTGAAATTTCATTTTTTCCATGCTATTGTAAGATTGACTTGTTCTTTGCAAGCATATATAACTTGATTTTTGTATATTGATCATGTATCTTGCAACTTTGCTGAACTCACTTGTTCTAATAATTTTTACTTCATGTATGTTGGGACATCTGTGTTATGATGTGTTTATGATTGTTACACCTCCAGTGCCTTCTTAACTCAGCTGATTTTCCAGGAAAAACTGTCAGAGAAGGAAAAGGAAGGAGAGATGGGAAGAAGACAAAAAGAGGAGAATGAGGTCCAGTAGCTATCAGTCTATAATATGGATTTCAGTCACCTGGAAAGCGTGTTAAAATCAGTTTCCCTACTGATTCTGATTCATTTGATCTGGAGTAGATCCCATGAATCAGACTTTTAAACTCACACATGAGGCACTTTGTGATGGAGCTTGGTGTACAGTTAGATTATTTGTCCAAAACAAAATTCAGTACTCCACCCTCCCTGTCAAACTGTTTTTGCTTTAGTCATTTATGTCCTCTACCAGTAGTATCATAGTATACCCAGATGCTTAAGCCTCAAACCCTGGAGTTACTGGTGATTCTCCTTTCTCCTCCCTCTCATACTCAGCTTGCATCAAATCCCCTTTATCTATGAAGAATATGCTGAACCTTGTTATTTCTCTACTGCCGCCCCTATCTCTCACCTTGCTCCTGCAAGCACCTTCTTCACTGGCCTTACTGCATCCTCTCTTGCTTCCTGCTACTATAAATATATTCTTCTGTCATCAGACAGAATGATTTTTAAAAAAATTAGTACTCTGAACATATTTACAGTATGCAACTTTATAAGTTTGATATGTTTGTGTTCCTTTGAAGCCATGAAATTAATGAATCAAGATAATTAATATTGGGCAGGGGATTTAGCTCCCCAGTACCAAAAAATAAAAAGATAACACCGGTGATCAAACTCAGGTCCTTGCATTTGAGAGGCAGGTGGCTGAACCACTGAGCTAAATCCCCAGCCCTTTTATTCATTTTTTAAAAGATAATTAACATTATCAATCAAGGTAACAAGATAATGAACATAATCATCCTCCATAAAAGTTTTGTTTGGTTTTATTGTGGCCCTGGAGTTTGAACTAGAGCCTTCACACTGAACTATGTCTCCAGCTCTTTTTTATTTTTTTATTTTGAGACAAGGTCTCACTAAGTTGCCCAGGTTGGATTCACATTTGCAGTCCTCCTGCTTCAGACTCTTGGACTGCCAGGATTACAGGCACATGCCACCATAACAGCTTAAAAATGTTTTTCATATCCCTTTATAATCTCTCCCTTTCTGTATCTTCTTAGTTATCTGTCCC